TTTCAGAAGTAGACCACCAGGTCCTTCTTCCTAGTCTGTCTTAGTCTGGAAGCTCAGCTGAAACCTGTCCGCCATGGGTGACTCTGCTGGTATTTGAATACCAGTGGCAAAGCTTCCAGCATCACAGCAACAGGCACGTACCCGCAGGATGACAAACTGGCAAGATACTTGGGAGTTAATTTTTAATGATGTGTGGAAATGCTCATGATATGGTTAAAAAAGAGGCATAATCTCAACTGTTTCAATAAAAGTGTAGAAAAACAACAAGTATAGAGATATAGTAGCTAATACATATTGAGGGACTGTTCCGGCACCATTCTAAGTGCTTTACATGTATGAATTCATGTAGTCCTTTTAATAACTCTTTGAGGCAATATTATAAGTAACTCCATTTTACAGAGGAGGAAACTGAGGCACAGAGTGGTTGAGTAACTTGCCCAAAGGGTCCAACAGCTAATAAATGTCAGAGCTAGAATTTGTACTCAAGTAACCTGGATTCAGAATTTGTGCTTTTAACCAGCATTCTATATTATCTTTAACTAAATACATGAAAGTCTGAGTAGTAGGTTCACACCTCTTATTTGTCACTTACCAGGCAGAGGCAAGTTACTTAAGCTCTCTGTGTTTCAGTATCCATCAACTGTAGTAAAAGGTCCCTGCATCTCAAAGGGTGGTGGAGAGGAATAAATCAGTTAATACTTGTAAAGTGCTAAGAACAGCACTTGACACACAGTAAATAGTAAATGCCGGTTGTAACTATTATCATCATTATACTATATATACATTTGCTAGGGAAAAAACTGGAAAGCTTTACCAAAGTGATCATTATAATTATCTTAGGTGATAGAATTATGGAAGATTACTTTTTTCTTTTTTATCTTCTGCTGAAGGCAGAGAGATACTGCTTGCAGACCTGGGCCCTGACTTGGCTTTTTTCTCCCCATGTTAGGATATAATCTGCTAATACAAATTTGATTTAAGAACCAGGAGAGACTTATGTTTCTAAATATTCCCTTAAATGATGAAAACATTAGAAATTTTGTAACTTCTTCCTGAATACCTATATAGGCACCAAATATAAAAGGTCTATCATAGAATACAAAAATAATGTAACAACATCACAAAAACAAACAAAAAACCCAAACCTGTTGTTGTTGAGTCAATTTTGCCTCATAGCAACCCTACAGGACAGAGTAGAACTGCCGCATAGGGTTTCCAAGGAGCAGGTGGTGGATCTGAACTGCTGACCTTTTGGTTAGAAGCCATAGCTCTTAACCACTGCGCCACCAGGGCTCCAACATATCATGGTTAGCATTTATTAGATATTAACTATGTGTCAGACATTCTTCTAGGTGCTTTACAGGCATAGAATTCCAACTTCATTCAATAGTCACCCAAACCTAGTTACCCTAGGTCACACAGCTAAAAGTGGTACAAATCTGAACTGGAGGCCAAGGGTAGTGCATGAGATAGGCTCCATCTGCTCTGGCTCTTTTTGGCCACCACAATTACACTAATTTTTGAAACTGTGGCTCAATAAATCTGGAACTGACAGTGGGGCTGAATGTGTGATTTCTAGCTTCTAATTTACAGCACAATCCATACCCCCTCCCCTGGAAAAACTGCTTCAGTATTACTTTTATAACTAAAAACAAAATTTAAAAAAGACTCAGAGGATGACTCTTGACTGGTTACCAATTTAAATCTAGTCTGAGTATACTCACAGATATTGTTTGCTTTAACTTAGCTTTATTCCACCAGAGCAGTTGTATAACACTTGTGGGCACCACTATTGGGTTTAATAAAGAATATTAAAAAGGAGAGAGAGTTAAAAAAAAAAAGTAGAAGAGGAAAGAGTAAGACAAATACAGATTGAAAAAAAAAAAAAAACCAAAAAATACAAGATAGAGTCGCAGTGTACCAATAATATTCAGACAATTTTAGGTGACACCTAGGTTAGGTGTCTTCAGACTGCCCTTCAAAAGAATTAATCCCTGAGCCCTACTCACCTGCTCATAGCGGAGGGTTATTCACTAGAGTAGAATGACCTAGGATTTGGCTGACTGTATTGACTCTCTTCACAGAACTTATAATTGTGTCTTTGGACACATTATTACAAACTGGGGCAGATCTGAATTGATCTCTGGGTATATAACTTAACCCTAAAAGTAATTACCGGGAGTATCTTCTATAACCAACACTAAAAAGGGAACTACTAAGATAATTCATTCAAACCAGCATATAATAAAAATCTTTTATTTTCAGTTATGGAACATGTTATTGATGTTTTTGGCAACATACTTATTTTCCTAATTGTATTTTGTTTAAGCTAATATTAAAATTAGTTTGCATTCTTTGAGAACTGGCAACAGTAGCAAGTGGTGCTAGACAACAGGACTAAGCTAGCCTAGCAATAAAAACATGACTGCAAAATTACAGTGAGTATACAAAGATAAAACATTGGTTACTGACAGGATCTCAAGTATATACTACAATATACAAAAAGAACAGAAAAGGAGATTTACTTTTTTTTTTTAATTTCCTGTTAGAAAGTATAGAAGAATAAACCGAATTTGTTTGAGAAAAATAAAAACGCAAAACAAATATTTGATGCATTCCAAATAAATATGGAACTTATTTACTACTGACACAAGGCCATCTTAAAGAAATTTATAACATTTAAATAATGGAAATCCTTTATTACTTATCTCCCACGTGTCTATGCTACATAAAAACTAATCAAATAGTGACCAGTAAAATATAATGATCCCCAAACATTTTTCCCCTCTCAACACAATGTTAAACTCTCTAAATGGCCTAAATATAAATAGGCAGTGTACAATGAGAGATTACTGTTTTGGCCAAAAGCAAAGGAGAGATTTGTTTTGGTAAGGAGCCTGAAGCTGAAGAAGAACAGAGTCTACTGTGATTCAGTAGTCAACCACTTTACAGAAGGAGGAAAACGAGTCTGTGAGAAGAAACCTCATATTGAAACAGATTTTTTTATTTCTATCTGAGACATAAGAAATGTATCTTTCTATTCATTAGCACTTTATTTTCTCAAACCAATATACAGTTATATTTTCCTTAAGGAAGCTGAATAAAGAATTGACCCTAAAGCTGTGTTTTTGATTTGGTACTTTTGAAAGAAAGAAGAATTTGTAAAATACTAGAAATAAACACCAAATGGCTGAGAAGAATTCAGAAAAAACAATCAATATGACTTAATGTCATAAAAATTTAAATTCAATATGATATTCACATATTCTAAAAAAATACTAACAGAAAAAAAAACTGTATCTGACATTCTGGGATGTTGCCTAAAACGTGATTGTATAATTTATATGGCATAGTATATCCTCATAAAATCAACACAGGTAAGGAATGGTACGAGTCCAACTTTCAACTAGTTAATTTCTTCTCTCATCAGGAGAACATCAATTCTCCAAGTACACAGTATTGTGATTATTGCAATATTGGTTTGTAATAGAATTTGGCCTGCACTTAGTTATGTAAAATCGTACACGTTAGCAGTTAAATTTATATTCTTTCTTTCTGTATTAAGTTACTTCTGTTGTGTGGGAATCAATGACAGCGCTTAAAAAAATTCTCACGTAATCCTATTAGATCCTAAATGAGATGTCTGACTTCAAGAGTTTACTTAGCCTGAAAATAAACAGATTAAACTTGCTTTCTCATGTGATTAAACTGTTTTTGAAGGTTCCCAGATATACGATTATTTTTAACATGTCCTTCTATCTAGAATCACAATAATAGTGATTTTTAATTTTATGAAGAGAATCTGTTCTGATGAAAGCAAAGAATTACAAATTACATTTTTGAAAATTAGACTTGTAGCAGGAAAGATCTAATCACTAAAGAAGAAATTCTTAGTGATATATATTTACATATAAGATATGAAAACAAAGACTTCACCCCAAGGAAGCTGAATAGTAGGTGTCTTCCATAATGATTGGGTAAATATATGGTAAACAGGCTGCAGGGTTTGTCCTGTGCCACCACTGTTCACAGTCTAGTAAGACTTTTTGCATCCTGGGTCTAATCTGGAACTGTCCTAGGAGTCTAGCTACTTTTTACCTTCTCTGGGATACAGTTCTACAAGCCCAAACCCAGACTCTCCAAGAAAGAATTAGCTTCTCAGGCACTTTGAAAAAGGCTGTCTTTGTAGGGCTTCTACTTTGGGACCTGACAGGACTAAACTGATACCCAGAGTAACAAGCTTCCCTAGAACTTTATTCCATAATGCTGGTGCTTGTCCCCAGACTCCAAGGGTGAAGATAAGAGAAGTCCTTTAGTCTCTTTACCTAGATGTCTGTCTAGTGCCTTTGGTAGGGATTATTATTGTACTAATAATAGTACTAATAGTATTAATAATAGAATACTAGAATAGCACTGTCTAGTCACTCATTAGCTTATCCTGAAGACATTACTTATAAAATTATAGGCAAAAAGGAAGCAGAAATGTGATAAAATGAGCAAGTTCATCTGCCCTAATCCCTAAATCTTATTACATATGATTTTGCTATTATATCCTTAATATTTAATTTTCAAACATATGTTTCAATCAGATTACCTAAGGCAACTTCCAGGATGTCTTCTATTTTGCCACTGAAGAGTTCTAAACCATCCTCTAGACCTAAGCAGTTCGTATCAGCCATAGAATTCCAACTTCATTCAATAGTCACCCAAACAAAATATGATTTCCAAGAAAATACGTTTCTGTACACTTCCTTCAATCCTAAGAAAACATGATGTATTCCAAACCATTCTTTCACATTCTTTTAAAAATCTGTTCCTTGCTTTGGGGACTATATTATATTATCTACTCATTCAACAACAATTTGTTACATCCCTGTTAAGACAAAATGCTGGAAACTGAACCCTACTGCCCTTCTTAGTTTGTATAACTGGGAGCACCCCTGGTCCTGAAATTGCCTTATAAAACTTTATTTGAACAAAATGTGTTCTCTCTTTTGTACCTTATTGTCAGTCCTAATCGTGACTTTCAGTTGTGGTAGTACACGTTCCACTTCTAGACTCCATTCCGCAGCATCTGTTGTAGATTCTAAAATATCTTCCTGTTTGGCAGACTCATTCATATCCTAAGAAAGGAAAGATATCACAAGATTGAGAGTTTATAAAAAGAAATGGTAAAAAATTTTAGCAGCACTGCACAATTTAAATCGAGCATGGTAGTGTTAAAATTACAGTGGCAATACAAATTCTCTTCTGTCCTCCTATCAATGTTGAAAGAAAATGATACACCAACATGGTAGAATGGCAATATAATTATTAAAAAAAGATGATAATAAATGATTCAACTATTTTCATAGTGACATATCAGATTGAGTTCAATGGAAACATTATCAAATAGACAAGCCACTGAGCTATGTTAATTAGTAACAGCAGAGGAGATACAAACACTCACACGTTTATTAAGAAAATTATCATCCTAGTTTGAATTTACCATACTGAAATACAAACCCAAAATCTGAAAGAGGAAAACAATAAAATCCTAGAAGCAAAGGGCTCATTATTTTAAAATTCTGTATTCATAATGAAAGTGATATTTTGTTTAGGTCAAACTATAATGTAGCTTAAAAATATGATTTAATACAGAACTACTGGAACTCAAATAGGATAGGGGCCAAATTTCTATATTTGGTTTCTACCCTTAAGTGATAAAATCAATTTAAGACTGTTTTTGAACCACAAAAGGAAATTTTTTTTTCTTTTTATTAACCCTTCACATTTCAGTAGTAAGTATTTATGGATCTGAAATGTAAGGGATGCACAAATTAATGATTTAAAGATAATGCCTAAGTTATTAACTTTGGTAGCATTTTTTTCCTTAAGCTTCCTTGATATGTTACAAGAAAATGTAAAGAAAAAATATAAGCATTTATTTACACATGAAAAAAGAGACCTAAGGAATGCACGGACCATATAAGGATTCTAATTTGAAAAAACAATCTGTAAAAAAAAAGACGTTTTGAGACAGGAAAATTTGAATGTGGAAGCTTATTAGATGATGTAAGGAGTTATTATTAATTTTGTAGGTGTGATAACAGTATGGTGGCTATGGAAAAAACTATTTTTAATTTACAGGTTAACTGACATGCTGTCTGGGATTTGGTTTAAAATACCATGGGAAAGAAAATAAAGAAACGGGCTTTAGAGGAAACACAGTTGACAAAATGTTAGTGTTAGTAACTGATGAAGCTGGGTACTGTTGTATAAGGGTTCATTATCTTATTCTCTCTCATTATGTATATGTTTGAAATTTTCCATAATACAAAACTTAAAAATAAAAAAGATAATATAAACAACCTCATGGTGAAATTACATCCTCAGTGTGAATTTATTTCACTAAAAGGAACTTCTTACATGAAAGGTTCATTAGGCTAGTCTTCCTAATTCAGTCTAATACTAAGTAGGTGATTAACCTTAGGTTGAGGTTTACATTTTGGTGGGAGCATGATATCTTTAGGGGATTATAATTCACTCCCGACTGAACACTGGGGCACTGCTGACATAAGAAAGCCTTTCCAACCTTTCAGCTCATATTAGAAAGTTCTGAAGAGACTCAGAATCCTAAAAGGAGTATCTATTACTCCTTTTTAGAAATTCAGGAGGCTGTTTATTTCTAACTTCACTATTGGAGGATTAATAACTAAATACATGCTTTTATACTTTACACACTATGTGGGCTGAAATATTTATTCAATTATATTCCATTTAGAAAACCAGAATAGAAAGTACAAGCATTCATTTGAGAAAAGTGAAATGTGAAAACTCTAAGTGCAAAAAGCTCAAGATGCTATTTTAAACATCAAAATGCTCATTTAAATATAAAAACATTATATTATTTGGAGTACTAAGGGGAAGGCTGTATACTTCTTATACAAGTTGAATCCAGGGTTGGAGATAGGGATAGGGAGAACAGCATTCACAAAGGAGACCTGTGAAGTCATGTGAAAACATGTATGATGGCAAAAGAGGAGGTACTTGGTCTCCCAGTTGAAACTTGAAGCAACGGGAAAGTTCCCTCTCATGTAAATCCACACTGGCCCCGATAACAAGCATTCGCTCGGAAGAACCAGGCATACACACGTTCACTGGCATAGCTGGGTAGATACCTCCTGCTCCTGACAATCTAGGAGACCTGAACGTCAAAGACAAAGTTGAGGAATTGGACTGAGTGGCAGGGGTTGGGAGAGACAGTTTGGAAGCAATGAGGAGTTGCCAGAATTGACCTGGTGGGAACCGGTACCTTTTGGGCCAGATCGGCTGGCATGCGAAGTGAGGCAAGCAGTGGCACTTGGGAGGCGTTTTCCGCACTGGGAGAGATCCAGCGGTAGAGAGTCTACCTGGGCCTCCAGAACCAGTGAAAATTAGCAAAAGATAAGTACATGTATCTGACCTACCGTGAGGATCAAAAAACACCCCCTTTGGGGAAAAATCTCCCATTTACCTGTCCCCTTCCCGCTCTGCACTGGGTCCTGGCTAGCTTCAGCAATTGCCACGTCCCCTGGACTGGAAGTAGGACCTGTCACCTGCCCTGAGCCATTCTCCTGGACTTGGAGAGGGAACAAATTAACAAACAGGAAAAAATAATCTGTCAGCTCCCCTAAGCTGGGAACTTGGGGTAGGCAGAGTGCCTTTGCCTAGGCACAGGCATAAGAGGTCCATGGACTCTGAATGCCTTTTATCTCTGCATAGACCTGTGTGGGTCCATTTCAACAGCACAGGCCTTCATTAGCACAGTACAATGGGGTATATATCTGAAGCCTAACTTCAACTTTATCAGCTTATATGGTGGAGTGGCAGGTTTGTGGCATTTGACACTACTCTGTCCCTTAAGCAGGGTCCTCACCTACCCACATCAGGGACTTGAGGACTGGTGGCTCCACCCACGCACCTAGCCACCTAACAGGGATCCAAGAATAAGTGGTGCCTCCCAGCCCTTAGAGCCAACAGCATCGGATGCCTACACTCTGGCTACAAAACCCACCCATCTATGTGCTCTAGGGAACAGGGACACGTTTTCCTCCCAGAAACTCAGGGGCAGCTGTTAGCCATCTGCCTTGCTCAGCCCATGACCCCCTGCTGTAGCCAGATACCTGCGCCTACAGCAATCACCCCTGCCCATCTAGGACTGTAGGTGAGAGCCTGCATCACACACTTGATGACTGACTACCTGGACACCTAAGCTGAATCCATACAAGAAAAGTCAATGGACTCCTGGGTTCACATACCTAGTAACAATCTAACCACCTGGTGACAGGACATGAGAGCTTCAAAGGTGCCAATAATCAAACTACCTCACATAAGCAGCTGTTTTGGGCAAATCAAAACAAAACAAGAAGCTACGACAGAGTAAACAAACATAAAATAAACAAACATAATAAATTATTGATGGCTCAGAGACAATGGTCAATATCAAATCACATAAACAGGCAGACCATGATGGCTTCAGCAAGCTCCCAAAACAAAGAATTAAGAAATTTTCTAGAAGAAGAGAACTTCTTGGAATTACCAGAGGTAGAATAAAAACGATTAATCTACAGAACTCTTAAAAGATATCAGGAAGCAGATCAGGCAAAATGCAGAACAAGCCAAGGAACATATACACAAAGCAACAGAGGTACTTAGGAAGATACGAGAATAACGACAAATTTAACAGGCTGCAAAAGCCCAGAGACAGCAATCAGAAATCCAGAAGATTAACAATAAAACTTCAGAATTAGACAACTCAATAAAAGCTCACAGGAGTAGAAAGAAGGCAAGAGAAGTCAGAATTAGTGAGACTGAAGATAAAGCGCTTGACACCAACTTATTTTGAGGAAAAATCAGGTAAAAGAGTTAAAAAAATATGAAGAACCCTAAGAATTATGTGGGACGCTATCAAGAGGAATAACCTGTGTGTGACTGGAGTAGCAGAATGGGTGGGTGGGGGGGCGGATAACAGAAAACACAGAGAGAATTGTTGAAGATTTGTTGGCAGAAAACTTCCCGGATATCATGAAAGATGAGAAGACATCTATCCAAGATGCTCATCGAACCCCACATAAGGTAGATCCCAAAAGAAGGTCACCAAGACATATTATAATCAAACTTGCCAAAACCAAAGTTAAGGAATTTTAAGAGCAGCTAGAGATAAATGACAACTCATCTACAAAGGAGTCAATACAAATAAGCTCAGACTACTCACCAGAAACCATGCAGGCAAGAAGGCAATGGGCTGAAAAATATATAGAGCCTTGAAGGAAAACAACTGCCAGCCAAGAATTATATATCCAGCAAAACTGTCTCTCAAATATGATGGCAAAATTAGGGCATTTCCAGACAAACAGAAGTTTAGGAAATTTGCAAAAACCAAACAAAAATTACAAGAAATACTAAAGGGAGACCTCGGGTTAGAAAATCAATAACATCAGGTAACAACCCAAGACTAGAACACTGGACAGAGCAACCAGGTATCAACCCAGATAAAGCTAAAACACTGAAAATAGGGAAACAGAGACGTCAATATGTAAAAGATGACATTAAAACAAAAAAGAGGGACTAAAAAAACTTAGTCACAGATCTTTCATATGGAGAGGAAGTCAAGGCAATATAAAGAAATAAAAGAGTGGTTTAAACTTACAAAAATAGGGGTAAATATTAAGGTAACCACAAAGGAACCTAACAATCCTACACATCAAAATATAAAACGAGAAAAACATAAAGACTTAGTAAACACAAAATCAACAACAATGAAAAAGATGAAAAGAAAATACATCAAGAAAAATGACTCAGCACAGAAAATTAAGTGGAACAAAGAACCTGTCAACAACACACACAAAGACATCAAAGTGACAGCACTAAACTTATACCTATCAATAATTATGCTGAATGTAAATGGACTAAATGCACCAATAAAGAGACAGAGAGTGGCAGAATGAATGAAAAAACACAATCCGGCTATATGCTGTCTACAAGAGACACACCATAGACTTAAAGACACAAACAAACTAAAACTCAAAGAATGGAAAAAAGTATATCAAGGAAACAACAATCAAAAAAGAGCAGGAGTGGCAATATTAATCTCTGACAAAAT